ATTACAGCCAAAACCAAAAAACTCAAGCCAGTTGCCATCGACTTGATTCCAACTGACTGTGACCCCACGTGTGTCAGAGTAGGATCGTGCTGCATGGGTTTTCCGTGGCAGACTTTTTGGGAGCAGATCACTAGGTCTTTCAAACCTCCACCCTTTCAGTTGGCAGCTGATTGATAAACCATTTGTGCCACCCAGAGACTAAAGTGTCAACAATTACAGTGCCTAGGATTAAATGAGGCGCTCTGGCGGCATAGTGCCTAAGGCACTTGACTGCTAACCAGGAGGCTGGCGGTTCAAACCCACCAGCCACTCCTTGGAAAGAAGGTTGGGCAATCTACTTCTGCAGTGATACCGCCTCGGAAAGCCAAGGAGGGGTCGCTATGAGTCGGATCCAACTCGATGGCAGTGAGTTTGCTTTTTTTTTTTTTTTGGTTAGTGCACATGAAAGTTAGGTTTACAGTATACTGTAATCTATGGAATGTGCAATAGTATTTTGCAAAAGTTTAGAATATTGTGAGAATGACCAAAATGTGACACAGAGACATGAAGACTCAGCCAATAGAATTGCTTGATGCAGGGCTGCCACAGACCTTCAATTGGTGAAAAATACAATATATGTAAAGTGCAATAAAGCAAAACGCAATAAAACGAGGTGGGCCTGAATCCTGATGTGATAGCAGTCATGTCAAGGGGTGGACATATGACCCAAGCTCAGCCAACTGGGCCACCTTCCCATGCACCTTAATTCTTGAGGCTGGACTGGCCTCTCGGGCCCCTGTGCTCTCTGGACCTGGGCCCTTCAGCTTTTTTTCTGATTCTGTGCCCTCCTTCATGGTCATCCACGGCTGCCCTCTCTGCCTGGAAGAGCCTGGTCAGCTTCCGCTGCTGGCAGCCTTGGACCCTGGCTGACGCACTCTGCCGAGCGCCTCTCCAGCCACATCCCAAACCACTTGGCCCCTGATCTTCACCTTCTGCTTGTAAGGATCTGCCCTCAGTCTTCACAGGCCACGCAGGCTCTGTGCACCTCTGAGCCTTTGTCCTTCTGCCGGGAGTGTCCTTGCCCTTCCCACCTGACCTCTGCTCACTAACTCCTATTCCGGGCAACTGTTTGATGCTCCAGAGCCACGGAGGGTGGGACATGGGACCTGCTTGGGGACTCCTGGGCTGTCAGGGACTGAATCCAGTTCCCATTAATGAGGGGTAATTGGGGGAAGAGCTGAGGAGTAGTCAGAGCCCCTGAAAGCCCCAGCCCCAGCCAAGGCATGACCCCAGTCCCACCCCTCCCTAATCCCAATGCCAGCCCCAGACTTTGATCCAGCCCCTGCCTCACGGCTGTGTCCCAGTCATGGCCCCCACCCGACCTCTGTTCATGCGCCTGCATCAGCCCCAATTCTGCCACCTAAAGGTTCTGCTCAGACTCCTTGCAAAAAGGGTGTGGAGGTGGCATCTTCTGACTTCCTCCAGCCCCAAGAGGGGAAGACAGAATCACCACCAGCAGCCCAAGGCTTATTCCCACGAGGCCAGACACGTCGCCACCCTCCAGCCTTTTACCAATTCTGATGCCAACCGCCCCTCCCACAGCACTCACTACTTCTCTGCTGGGTTTGAGAATTCGTTGCAGTGGCTACACAGAACTCAGAGACAATATTCATGAATATGGAGTTTATTAGGGAAGTAACAAGTCACAATTCGGGCTCAGGAACACACTCAGGATACAATTCTTCGATCAGGACAGTCTCCTCTCTGCTGTGCCTCAGGGACGCCTCTCTGGCCCGTGGCCTGTCTGCCTGGCCTCTGCCCTGCTCCTGCGAGTGTACAAAGCTCTTTTAGCTCTGCTGAAATGGGTGTACATCCAGGTACACCCCACTCGGCCAGCAAGCCTCCTGTGCAAAGACACCCAGCTGTCTCGTTCTGTGGGCCACCAAGCCCGCTGCTCTATCTCACGCCTCTTGTTCCACCGCCACAACCTCTCAGCCACCATCTCAGCCTGAAGCCTCTGCCCGGGTCCACTCCACCCCACCTCCAGAGCGCCAGTCCCGGCTCTTCTCTCCTGATGGGGGTGAGATCCCCCCTTCTGCCGCTACCAAAAACCAAACCCACTGCCATGGAGTCGATTCCAACACATAACAACCCCCACTGGGTTTCTGAGGCAGTAAATCTTTACGGAAGTAGATTGCCCAGTCTTGCTTCCGCAGAGTGGCTGGTGGGTTTGAACCACCAACCTTCTGGTTAACAGTCAGATGCCTTAGGCTCTGTGCCACCAGATCTCTTTTCTTCTACCTCTAGGAGGGCTCGTTTGAAGCCTAGCAGAATGACAAAACTAACCAAACCCTTTAGAACTCTATACACCTTATCTGCATGGTCCCACCCAGTAATCCATAATCACTAAGACTGGCTGGAAAAGCCATACTGGGTAATTCACTCTGCTGCACCCCTGCATTTCCCTAGACCCTCACCTGCCCCGCCCCAACTCCTCCCCTACCCCGTCCCTGCCCTGGTACCTGCCCCTGCCTGGGCTCCAGCCTCCACCTTTGCCCCCACTGCAGTCCCTCCCTACCCTCAGCAGTCTTCTTCCCAGGGGAGCCCGTTTGAGGCTGTGACTTCCCAGGCTGCCCTCCTGGAGACCCTGGCTCTGTGGGAAGAGGCCTGGCAATGGATGGAGCGGGGACCCTTAGAGGTGGCCCCAGGCCCACTCCCCCAGCAGCTAACAGGGCCCAGCATAAAGCAGGGGCAGGGCTGGGTCCTGAGCCATGGCTGGGCTGAGTTCAGGGGACGCTGGGTGCCAACAGGGGAAGTACCTGAGCTGCAACCACCTACAGTCAGGTGGCAGGGATGGAAGGAGTCATCCCAGGATAGGCCTCTGGGGTTTGGGTAGCCTGAAAGGGGAGACACCATGAGTGACCCCCCTGCCCCAACCGCAGATAACCAGCCTTGAAAGAAAGGATAAAAATAACCCACATTTCCAGCAGGGTCTCCTGTGGGGTCTCCTGTGGGGCCTCCAGTGGAGTCTCCTGTGAGGTCTCCAATGGGACCTCCTGTGAGGTCTCCAGTGGGGTCCCCTGTGGGGTCTCCTGTGGGGTCTTCAGTGAGGTCTCCTGTGGGGTCTCCTGTGAGGTCTCCTGTGGGATCTCCTGTGAAGTTTCCTGTGGGGTCTCCTGTGAGGTTTCCTGTGGGGTCTCCTGTGGGGTCTCCTGTGGGGTCTCCTGTGAGGTCTCCTGTGGGATTTCCTGTGAAGTTTCCTGTGGGGTCTCCAGTGAGGTCTCCTGTGGGGTCTCCTGTGGGGTCTCCAGTGGGATCTCCTGTGAAGTTTCCTGTGGGGTCTCCTGTGAGGTTTCCTATGGGATTTCCTGTGGGGTCTCCTGTGGGGGTCTCCTGTGGGGTCTCCAGTGGGATCTCCTGTGAGGTTTCCTGTGGGATTTCCTGTGGGGTCTCCTGTGGGGTCTCCAATGAGGTCTCCTGTGGGGTCTCCTGTGAGGTCTCCTGTGGGATCTCCTGTGAGGTTTCCTGTGGGATTTCCTGTGGGGTCTCCTGTGGGGTCTCCAGTGAGGTCTCCTGTGGGGTCTCCTGTGAGGTATCCTGTGGGATGTCCTGTGAAGTTTCCTGTGGGGTCTCCTGTGAGGTTTCCTGTGGGATTTCCTGTGGGGTCTCCTGTGGGGTCTCCTGTGGGATCTCCTGTGGGGTCTCCTGTGAGGTCCTGTAGGGTCTCCTGTGGGACCTCCTGTGGGATCTCCTGTGAGGTTTCCTGTGGGATTTCCTGTGGGGTCTCCTGTAAAGTTTCCTGTGGGGTCTCCTGTGAGGTTTCCTGTGAGGTCCTGTAGGGTCTCCTGTGGGACCTCCTGTGGCATCTCCAGTGGGGTCTCCAGTGGGACCTCCCATGGGGTCTCCAGTGGAACTTCCTGTCTCCAACAGGGTCTCCAGTGCCTCTTCACTCCTTCTCCTTGGGGACCGAACCAGGGAGATGGAGGTAGAGGGGGCACAGGACCATGGAGAAGCTGGCTCTCCAGCCACAGGAGGCTCTGCACTAGGGACCTTATGAGGACGGAATCCAGCATTGTGACGTCACAGCCAGCATTGTGATGTCACAGCCAGCTATGGCTGTGTGCTCCTGGAGTTGTGAGTGAGTCACTAACTAACCCCCTTCCTCCTCTACCTCGCTGTGCCCCTGCACCCACGCCTAATGCTCAGGGCTGAGTAGGCTGACCACAAAGCCCCTCATCTTCTGTCCTGCTCCCCCATACACTGGGGCTGGCCCAGCAGATGGCCAATGTGTATCACACTCAGAAGGCTTTCTCCTATTTGCCATAACTGGAGCCGGCCTTGGGCGAGTGGCCAAGGAACTACTTGCAAGGCTGGTGGAAACCACCCGCTAGCAGACCCTGTTCTCAGCTGGACTGGGAGCTTGCTCAGCGTCTGTCAGCGTCTGTCGCCACTGTAGCCCCGCTGCAGAAGCTCAGAGTCTGTGCTGTTGGTTCAATGGATGAATGTGTGGATGGGTGAGAGGGAGGGTGAGTGCACCGAGATGGACGATGAAGGTGCTCCCTCCCTATACACGCTGCTCTCTGGCCCCATGACTCCTCCCTGAACGTCACTGGAAGCCAGCACCTGTTGGTAGTCCTCCAGGTATCTTGGTGGCCAGGTTCTGAGACTTGGGGGTGATGGAGCTATGCCAGTTATGGGATGTCAAGGGCAGTAATACTGCTCCAGATAGCACACCCTCAACCCTTCCAGAGTTGGGGGGATGGCTCAAAGACCCTGAACATTTTTAGTGAACCCCGAGTCTAAGTCTAGTCCTGCCACTTGCTGGCTGGCTGGCCTGGAGTTAGTCAGAGCCCCTCTCTAAGCTTCCGTCTCCTTCTCCACGAGCTTCTGACGACTGTTGGGAGGATCCAAAGAGAAGCCGCTGCTGTGGTCACTGTGTGGCCGCCCTTCCTTCTTCTGCCTGGCTCACACGGCCACTCCTCCTCCGGCAAGGCGGGCTGTGAGGAGTGATGCCCGCGGTCATGGACGCGGGCCTGGGGGCTGGCCTGCACGAGAGCAGTGACGAGGAAGGGGACCTGCAGATGCTATTCCAGGAACTCTGCCAGCTCCAGGCCAAGTACGAGTTGTCCTAGGCCCTGCTGTCCCCCTAGCCCCTGCCTCAGGGCCACCAACAGAGGGAGAAGGAGCTGGGACTGGGCAAGGAGATGAGGCTGGGGATGGAGGGAGGGAGGTGAGGTCTGTAAGTGAGTCAGGAAGGGCTGCATGAGGACGGAGATGGGGGCTTGGCTACCAGTCCTCCAAACCACAGTCCTCCTTTGGCCTTGGACCATTGACCTGGGGCCAGTCCAGGCCCTTCCCACCACAAAGGAGGGATGGAGATGTGGCCATCCCTATGGGCCTTTCCAAAAAAGCACCCTAGGAGTTCTTATGTTTGCCTCCCAGCTCAACAGCCACACCAGGCATGGATTAAACAGGATGTGTTTGTGAGCAATTTTAGGAAGAAAGGAGACAACTTTTCCATTAGATCCACACAGGGCTTCGGAACCCCAGCAGGTTAGCACCGCTGGCTGACAGGCCACCCCCCGTGGTGGTCTGGAGAAAACACTATTTCTTTGTGGATTTTGTGGGAACTTACAGATGGGAAAATGAGGCCCAGCAAGGCAGAGGAACTTGCCCTGGGCCTCTCAGCGGGCATTCAAAGATCCCCCAGAGCCCCCCCTGCCCTCTGCCCTTGACTGCTGGCTACCATCTACCTGTCTTGCCTCCCGATGACTATACCCAGACCAGGCGGCCTATTGGACACTCATTTTGCTTCAGGGTCCCCCAGAGTTGAGCATGACCATCTCCCCTCCAGAAGCTGGGAGGTGTCCCCAACCCCTGGCCAAGTGCTCAGGATATGCTAGGTGCCCACAGGGGGTCCCACCACAGGGGGTCTCACAGCCCAAGTTACAGGTGGGTACTCAAGCAGAGAGGGGAAGTCCTTGCCCCAGGTCACCTGCTAGGAGGCAGCTGTTTGTGAGATGGGGCTCCGCCCAGAAGAGGAGCCTGTGGACTCTGCAGCGGGAAGAACTAGGCTTCACGCTCCCTGGGCACCTTCCTTGCTGCTTGATGTGGGCATTGATTTGACCTGGTTGTGCCTCAGTTTGCTCAGGTGTAAAATGGGCGTGGTCAGACTGAACCTCAGAGAAAAGGCAGTGGGTGGCCAGCCCAGTATGTCTGAGCTGGGAATCCATGAAGGATGGACATCATAAGGGGTCACAGTCTGGGACCCTCCAAACCACCACGGTCCGCCATCACAGCAATATTTCTGCAGGCGGAGGAGGCTGGAGAGGGAGGTCAAGAAACACAAGCATTTTGAAGATTTCCTGATTAAGGTCCTTGAGAAGATCCCCAAGGGTATGTATGAAGCTTCCAGGGAAGCCTGGCCCCTCGGTGGCTCACACAGGCTGTCAGTCCAGCTGCCTCCCAGCCATGGGACAGGCACAGCGTGTAGCTCCGCAGGGCCTTGAGCTGCTCACCTACAGAATGGGAAGGCACAAAGTCGGGGCCACGCTGGCGAAGAAGGGCCCAGGGCCAGAGGCAGACTGCCCGGCCCAGACCCTGGCCGCACATCACGATGGGGAGCTGCTGGCATGTTCTCTGGTCTCGGGTTGTGATCTGTATGATGGGAATGAGCGATAGTATGTGGCTTAGATGAAATTATCCTTGATAAGCAGGTGGCACATGGCCTGGCAGTCAGCAAACACCCATCTCTGTTTCCAACTTACACATTCCAATCACCAATAATGACCAACACAGCTTGATTGTGTGGTGGACCAATTTCAGACGGCAGAGCTTGGTGAAAATCTTCCATTTCGTCATCTGTGGCCTTAGTGGTTCGTGTGCAAATTTGAGTGACAGTCGTATTCACCACTCTTCCTGGTTATTATTATTGTTTTGTTTTTGTTTTCATTGGTTTCGATTTTGGTTTTGCCGTTATTAACCACATAGGCGGCTGGCATGGGTTTGGTTTTAGTTTGTTTCTCTCATGATTCCTACCAGACTCCATGTTCCAAGTGCTGAAAACTTCTCACAAAAGGAAGGGGAGCAAGACATGTGCATATCTATCATCACTAATAGTGTTATCATAGGAGTCCCTGGGGGGTGCAAACGGTGAAGTGCCCAACTATAGCTAAAAGGTTAGTGGTTCGAATCCACACAGAGGTACCTGGGAAAACAGACGTGGCGCTCTGTTTCTGAAAGGTCGCAGCTTTGAAAACCCTACAGGGTGGTTCTACTCTGCACAGTGAGGTCCCCATAAGTTGGAACTGACTCAACGGCAGCTAACAACCATCATTATTTCAAGCTCACCACTAACAGCGATAATTATTACCATTCATTAACTATTTACTCTGCGGGGAGCTCTTTAGTAAATCTTTTCACTCCTGCTTACCAGCTTCTGAGTGGTGTTTTATCTAGGCTCAGAGAGGCTAAGGAACTTGCCCAAGGTCGCCCAGCCAGGAAGGTGTGGGACTGGGACTTGAACTCTGATCCGATTCCATAGGTACACACTAAGCACTGTAATGGAGGTACTGACCAGGAGCTGTGGGAGCCTGAGGACTCTGCCCCAGGGGTCAGGGAAGCGTCTCTGAGGAGGTGATCTCTCATGGGGCCCCAACAATTTCAGCAAAGGGGACTGGCACTCAGGTGGAGAGAACAGCCGCTCGTGGTGGGTTTGGGATGGAGCATGCCCCGTGGACTGGAGCACCAGGGCAGGGCTGGAAGGCCAGGCTGGGCGATGGGGTGGCACCAGAGAGCTGTGAACCAAGCCAAGCAGGGCCTGGGGCTCCGGCTCAAGCAAGGGCTTCAGGTCAACCTGGGTCCTGGTGCTGCTTCTGGCAGCACACACACCCCCACGCGTTTGGGGCCTCCCTAATCCAGCCATTCAGCTGTGCTCCACACATGCAAATGAGCGTCTTCCAGAGCTGGGACCTGGTCGCTTGGGCAGGAAGCTCCCCTCCCCCTTCTTACCATCCCCCTCCCCCATTTCCCCTTCTCTAGGGTCATTCCTCAGAAGGAAGATGGGGCAATCTATTTCCATAGTGATACTGCCTCGGAAACCTAAGGAGGGGTCGCTATGAGTCGGGTCCGACTTGACAGCACATAACAACAACAGGGTCACCTAGGTGGTGCCCACAACTGCTAACTGAAAGGTTGGCAGTTTGAAACTACAAAGCTATGGAGCACAGTTCTATTTCTCAACACATGCATTGCCAGGAGTCGGAATTGACTCACTAGTAACTGGTTTAAAAAAAAAAAACTCACTGCTGTCCAGTGGGATCCGACAGCGACCCCTCCTTGGATTTCCAAGGTGTTATCACTAGGGAAGTAGATTGCTCAGTCTTCTTTCCAAGGAGTGGCTGGTGCATTTGAACCACCAGCCTTCTAGGTAGCAGTCAAATGCCTTAGACACTACACCACCAGAGCTCCCATAACTGGTTTGGTTGGTGGTTTCTGGTTTCTTAGAGAAGTGGAAGAGTGATGAACAGACAGTGCTGGACCAGCATGGGTCAGTCTGGCCTCTCTTATGTCCAGTGCTCCATCCGAAGTCCCGTTCTCTTTATTAGGATCACCCACCGCAGGCGAAGGTGAGAGTGGTGCGTTCTGTGCCCATCCCCCCATGCCCTGTCTCCCCAGGCTCCAAGGCCCAGGAGGAGCCAGAGCAGGTCTTGCTGGAGGCCATGGTGGACCACTACGGGAGGCTCTTCTCAGCCGGCCAGGATGCCCAGAAGCACCTGGGGGCCTTCTCCAACATGAGCCACACCATCCACCAGAGCCTGCAGTCGCTAGAGGAGGGCCACAGGGCTCTTGTCCCGGTAACAGCTGCCTGAGACCTGGCCTGCCCCCAGCCCAGAGAACTGGGAGCATGGGGGTGGGGGGTCCCTACACCCCGAGGGATGGCCTGGGGTACCAGGGGGTTGGTGAGCCTGGGCAGGGCTGACACTCCCAAGTCTTGGTCTGCATCTGCCCTCTCTCCTTTTTTGCTGACTGTCTAGTTTTCTCCTGAGGCTCAGCCTGTGTTTAAAAGGTATTCTCTGGGTGGTACAAATGCTTTGCCCATGACTACTAACTGAAAGGGTGGCAGTCGGAACCCACCCAGCGGCACTGAGGAAGAAAGGCCTGGCAGTCTGCTTCTGTAAAGATTACAGCCAAGAAAGCCCTACTGCAGTTCTATGTGGTAATACGTGGGGTTGCCATGACTGGAAATCAGACAACCAGGGTTCAAACCCCAGCTCAGCCATTGACCAACCGCGTGACCCTGGGCAAGTCTGTACCCTTCTCTGAGCCTCACTCGGGTTTTTCATCTGCCAAATGGAGGCAGCACAAACTAGCTGGCAGGGTTGCTGTAAAACAAGCAAGTGGGAACCGCTTGCCTCCCAGTGAGTGCCTGGAGCATTGTACTCCACCTTCCTTTTTGGTTATCTCATAATAAATAGAATGTTTGCCTGCAACGGGGGGGCAGTCCAGGAAGAGGAAATAGCCCCACTCCCAGCAAAGGCATGTAAGATGGAGACTCCCTGCAGCTGGTGTCTGGAGAGCGACCGTGGGAGGCTGAGCGCTGCTTGGCTCACTGCAAAGAGCCGCTGGGTGATAATTGGAAAGTGTCTGCCCCCTAGTGGCCGTCCTGCAAACTACATTGTTTGGTACCCACCTTGGGGTTTCTCTCTCCTTTGGAGCGTGAGTTTTGCTTTTGTGCGGGGCAGTGTCACTTGGTTACCCAGGGTCACTTGGTTGGTCAGTGGCTGTCCATTAACTCTCAACGCAGCACCCCGAGGTAGGTGCGTTTATTCCTAGGGCTGAGACGGGTGCGGCGAGGGAGGGGAGTCACTTAAGTACAGGGTCAGACCCCATCTTGATTGATTTCCCATTTTGATAATTTGTTCACGATGGATTTTTTTCTTTTTTTTTTTCATTATTTTTCCTCTGGCAAACTTATTTATATTCGTGATGTAGTCCCATTTGCCTTCCCACCTCAAGTGTGATTTTTTAAAACAGCCTTTAACTGGGTTTCGTCTGGCTTGTGGAGGTCCTGGCGCCCCCTCACGTTTTGCACTGTGCACCCAGTCCTGCTGGTCCTCCCATTTTCAAGGTGAGGAAGCCAAGGCTCAGGGAAGTGGGGAGGCTTGTGTCTGGCCCTGTGTCTTCCAAATTCAGCACCGTGGGGCCATCTCTGCCCCCGAGCCTCAGAAGATCCTGCCTTCGCTCACTGCACCCTGCCAGGAGGAGTAGGCCCCACGCAGGCCTGGGCTGCTGAAGGCTGTTCACAGTCTTGTTCCCAGCAGCCTCTGGGGCTGAAGGGCACAGGTTCTGGCTCTGGTGAGGAAAATGGTGCTCCAGAGGCTGAAACAGGATTCGAACCCCAGTCATCCTGGACACACCTTTCCTGCCTCTTCGGGTGCTTTGAGTGATCCCTGACACCCCGAATGTGCCCATCCTCCCCAGTGTGGCATTTGTACTTGGCACCCCGTCATTGCTCTGACCCTTCAGGAGACAGCTCCCTGAACCAGGCCTGGGCAGATGCCGCGGGATGGTTGGCCACACCAAGGTGACCCTGCCCCTCTCACCCAGAGCCTCAAGATCCAGCTATGTCAGCTGCAGAAGAAGTGTCACTGCAGTCAGGAGTGGCAGCGGCGGCGGGTGGGACACAGAGGCCCCTACCAGAAAGACACGGGCAGCCACAGTGTGAGTGCAGGCTGCTGGCTGGGAACCAGGGCTGGGGCTGCCGCCTCCTCAACAGTCACCCCCCTACACCGTACATGCACACACACTCATACAGGCAGACACACATACATGCATGGACACACACAACATCAGACACACATACATGCATGCACACATGCAGACACACAAACGTGCATGGACATACATAGTGCACACATGCAGACACACATATATGCATGGACACACACACAACATCAGACACACATAAACGCATGCACACACACAAACGTGCATGGTCATACACGTGCACACATGTGGACACACATACAAACATGCACACATGCACACTCACATTAGTTACTCCCCTGGTGACCGTCACCTTCCACAAGGCTTCTCAAAAATGGGTCAGGTGCTGCTTTACTGTTGGGAAAACTGAGGTCACAGTGAGTTAAGCACAGAGGTCTGACAGAATTCACAGCCCAGCCCCAGAGCTGGCACGGTGCCGCCTGCTTGGCTTTGTGGCTACAGTGTTTGTGGTTAATAGAAATAATGGTATTGAAGCCAGTGCTTGCTATGCACTCTTGTCAGCAACCCTCCTGAGCTCTGGCGCCACCGTGATTAACACAGTCTGCTGCTAACCAAAAGGCTGGCAGTTCAAACCCACCAGCCACTCTACGGGATAAAGATTGTTGTTGAGTGCCCAATTCTGTAAAGACTTACTGCCTTGGAAAACCCATAGGGCAGTTCTACTCTGTTCTGCAGGGCTGCTACAAGTTGGAATCGACTGCATGGCA